CCACACACACACACACACACACACTCACTCACACACACACACACACACACACGCACGCACACACACACACTCACACACACATATACAGGAACACAATGTTCACAGCCACACTTGTCCTTCTCTCTCCTTGCCCCGTACCGTGGCGTCATGACAATTAAGTCATAACCATTTAGTTCATTCTCGCTGTGTTTATAATGTCTTAACTACGTCCTTGAACCGTTGTTCGTTGTACTTCGTGATACAGCTTTCATTCCGTGTTTTGTTACTTTCAAAGCTGACTTCACGAAAGCAACGCTCGACGCCTTTTATGGATTTATGAATTCAAGAGTTGTGTTTTACGACGCGGAAAGCAGCCGCAGTGATAAGGTAACTGATACAGAAGCAGTTTTTGGAGAACCGTAATAGGCTAATGCCTTACGGGGATACAGTAGTTAAAACAAGCGCTGCGATATGCTATTGTTTGTTTTTTTTTAAGCTTTATAAATAACATGTAACAGGATGCTGTTAAGCAGTTTTCAGTGCAACGAAATACGAGTACAGTGAATGCAGCATGTGCGTCTTTGCCCTTTCTTGAAATATTAAGGTAGGTGAAACATTAAAGACAATATGTCTCTATGGTGTCATACATTTTTGAATCTACTAACCTTTTCTAATTGGTTGGAAAAGTAATTCAGGAAGATGCGGTTTACATTAAACAGGAAAAAACCCCAAACCATCTAATAATAACACACAAAAAGGGAAAAATAGGATGTTAATCATGAAGCTTTCTTTATATCAATCATACAGGGAACCTAAACAAATGGGAATCGGGGAAAAGATCAGGGAAACGTAGCCTTTTTAAGAGCATCCGAGCAAAATAATGAATGGAGAACCATGATCGCCGATGTCTGTCTCAGATCTGGCACTGGATGATGCTGATCACACATGCATACACGTACACTACACAGACACATACGTGCGGATGATTGGCGGGTGCTGTGGTGTGGCTTTTGTTTGTTATTTTGATAAAATTACGACGCTCGCAACTGCAACATGTCATATGAGCGCCAAGGACACATTAGACATTTTCAGCTTGAAAGGAATTTTGAATTTTGCCTGGATGGTGGGGGTGGGGGGGGGGGGGGGGGTCGTGGCTCTCGTGGCCTAGAGGTTAAGGTGTTGGCCTCTCATTCAAAGGTCCCGGGTTCGAATCCGGGTAGCCACCGAAAAAATTTCTTCTCTAAAATTGTCTCCTTTCACCTCCTTTCCTGCTCTCTAGCAATGTTCTGTTGTCTGCTTTCGTTTCCACTTTCTGCCCCCACCCCCTCACCTCCTTTTCCCCCTCCCCTGGGCTCCTGCCTCTTTCTGCCGCCTTTCTACTGCTACTCCTTGGCTCCTCCTAACTGCTGTCTTTCTGCCACACCCCTGATCTTCTGGTAGGAAAGATCTACACCTCCTAGCCTTCTCGGACAAGGGCGAAAAATCTCGGAGGGCCCGTGTGCAAGTTGCGCACGTTAAAGATCCCTTGGTGGTCTAAAATCGATAGGAGTAGGCTTCGGCCGCCACCCGGGCAAAATTCAAATTTTCCTACCAACTGAAAATATTAGGTGTGTCCCGCGCGCTCATATGACCTTATGCAGTTGCGAGCGCCGTAAAAACACTTACCAAAACAAAAAAGCCTTGGTGGCGGTCGAAGTCTACTCTTATCGAGTTTAGGACCACCAATGAATCTTTAACGTGTGCAACTTGCGTACGGGACCTCCGAGATTTTTCGCCTTTATCCGAGAAGGCTGGATATTAGATCTTACCTACCATAAGATCTAAGGTCTGGCTGAAAAACAGCAGTAAGAGGGGCCACGGAGTAGCAGTAGAAATGTTGCAGAAAGAGCCAGGAGCCCAGAGAAGGGGGCAGAAGTGGAGACGAGAGCAGATGACAGAACATGGTTAGAGGGCAGGAAAGTAGGTGAAAGGAGAACATATTAGAGTAGAAAATTTTCCGTTGCTGTCAGGTTTCGAACTCAGGACCTATTGAATGAAAGGTGAACACCGTAACCTCAAGACCACGACAGCCCCCTGATATGGTTTGCCCTTTCATCCCTATCAAACATCTGCCGTTTTGATCTCTCCTACTTCCTTTTGCGTTTGTTACTCTCTTGTAATACCTCTAACCTCCGGCACTTAATAAATTATCTTATCTGACCTTATTGTATTGCAAGTCCGATAAAACTTATTCTAAAACAAAAGACGCATATGTTCCCATCAACTACAGTAGAATCACAGGGGACACATTACGTGGGTGGTTGGCGGGTGCTCTGGTGTGGTTTGCTCCTTCTTTCCTATCAAACATCTATTGTCCTGATCTCTCCTTTTTTATGTTTGTTACTCTCTTTTAACACCTCCAATTTTCGGCACTTAAATGACCTTATTGTGTTACATATGCCATAAAACTCTTACTAAAACTAAAAAAGGACACTTTACGAATTTCCCACACTGTTTCTCTACCTCAAAATTGAAGTTTTTTTCTGACATTTTTTGGCCGTTTTGAGTTGCTAAGACCATGGGGTCAGAAAGCAATTTAATGTTCTATTTGCTCTATCAAAATCGTAAGATTATTCGGAGTCATTTTCAAGAAATTCAAAGATCTGCATTGGAAAAAGCTTGCAAAACTAGGTGCTGAGCAGATAAAACGTTGTACTTTTACGGTAGCGGTTTGTTATCGACCACACACGACATGCACTCACTTCCTCGAGTCACTCTCAACTTACATGATCACACACTCATACTCATATCGTCGTGGCTAATTAATAGCAACAACCACAAAAGCCAAACATTTAGGCCAACAACGATCAGGTAACACGTTTTGCGTACAGAGAACAGCATGTGAACAGACTTCATCCCCGAGAACAGTCAAAAACACACTTGTTTTCATTTGAAATGTTTGCACAAAGGAATTTCTGAACTTTAATTGGTCCATTCTGTCGGGAACAGATGTTAGTCTCTTTATGCCGTGAGCAAATTATACCACCCAAAGGACCAAATTAATTACCCAGCTTTGAAGAAATAAGTACGTTATAAACGTATGTGGACATGTGTATGGTCGTGCGTGCGTATGTGTGTGTGTGTGTGTGTGTGTGTGTGTGTGTGTGTCTGTGTGTGTTTGTGTTAGTGTGTATGTTTGTGTGTGTGTATGTGTGTGCGCGTGTGCGCTTGAGCGCGCGTGTGATTGTTTTCGGTTTGTATGTTCTTATGTTGAACTG